TAGAATGTTTCAGGAATGTTCATAGAAATTTTCTAATATTTTATGAGAATTTCGTGTAATTTTACAAGAATTTTTCAGAATTCCACTGACATTTTTATAATAGAATGTTCATAAATTGCACACCAGAATTCCTTAAAAATTCTTCGAAATTCCACTAAAAATTCAATTAGTTTCAAAGAAATTTTCTGTATTTTTACAGGATTTTTTTGGAATTCCATGTAATTTCACAAATTACTTTTTGATAGTTCATGGGTATTTCAGGTCATTTAATTCACGTAAGTTTTTTTGGAATTCCACTGAAGTTCTGAGTTATTTTATAAAAATTCCTTGGAATTTTGCTGAAATTTAAAAAAAGAATTTTTTTTTTAGAATTTCATAATTATTTATGCGATTTTTCGAGTAGTTTCTTGTGAATTTTTTGAAATTTCACGAGAATTTTGATTTATTTCACAGGAATTTCTTTTTTTGCTAGAAATAAATTCAGTAAAATTACCTAAGAAATTTCAGAATTTTTCTTTGGAATTTCGAGTAGTTTTACAGGATTTTTTCGGAATTTCAATGAAATTTCAAGTACCTACATTATTTCATGGAAATTTTATGGAATTTCTAGTTATTTCATAGAAGGTTTTTTTTTTCAATTGCACTAAAATTCCTATTTACTCCACAGGAATATTGCTAAAGTAATAAGTAATTTCACAAGAATTTTTTGGAATTTCACGAGAATTTCATATTATTTCAGAATTTCACTTAAATTTTCACTTATTCCACGGAAATTCCATGTAATTTCACGAGAATTCTTGGGAATTCAATAAAAAATTTGAGTAATTTCACAAGAATTTTATGTAGTTTACGGAAATTTTTGCGATTTTTTCTTTCAATTTCACGAGAATTCCAAGTGATACCACCTTCCTTCCTCAGGATTCCATGTAATTCTACACGATTTTTTATTTGAAATTTAGCGAAAATTCCACCTAATTTTACGTAAATATTTTAGAATTTCATGGGAAATTTTCTGAAATTTCACGAGAATAACTTAAAATTCCGGAGACATTGAGTCGAACTTTCGGAAAATTTCGTCGTAATTCTTTCGCAGTATCACATAGAATTTTACCGAAATCCCACGTAATTCTACTATAATTCTGAAAAATTTCACAAGAATTTTTTAAAGTTGCATGAAAATTTAATGTGATTTTTACGGGAATTTTTTAGAATTTTACAAGAATAACTTGGAATTCCAGGAGAATTACGTGGAATTTCCAGTATTTTTTCGAAATTTCACATGATTTTACCGGAATTTCACTAATTTTCCAAATCATTTCACAAGAATTACTTAAAATTTCACGAGAATTTCATATAATTTTTACAGGAATTTTCTAGAATTCCAGGAAAATTAATGGAATTTCATCGGAATTCCACGTAATTCCACTGAAATCCCAAATAATTTCACAATATGTTTGATATCCGTATTAGTAATCTCAAATTTTAATAATTATTATTTATTGATTAATAAAAATTTGCTTGAATTTTGAAATATAAGGTAAAATTCAGCGCAAGCGTAACGACGGTGACAAGATATCTGAAATCTGAAATAAACTGGAAACATTTTTTTTTTTTTAGTAAATTTAAAAAAAAAAAATTGTACACCGGAATTCCTCGTAGTTCCACAAAAATTCTCTGAAATTCCACTAAAAATCCATGTAATTTCATGGAAATTTTCTGTAATTGCAAGAAATTTCACAAGAATTTTAAATAATATCATATTTTTTTTTGGAATTTCACGAGAATAATTTGAAATTTTGGAGAAATTACTTAAAACTCCAGGAAAATTAATGTAATTTCATCGGAATTCCGGTAATAATCACAATTTGAACTCTTAGACCCGGTTGTACCAAATAGTGGATCATCCGAATTCTACTGGTACTTGAACTTTCCATTTGAAACGTAGAAATCTACCAACGTGTATATTTTTTGACAACAACGCATTTTAAATGGGAAAGATCAAGTTCCGGTAGAGTTAAACTAGACTACTGTGTAAAATGCCCATTGAATTACATGAAAATTTTACAGTAAAATCTCGATAAATTTTCGTAAAATTACAGTGGAATATCAAGGAATTTCATAAAATCTTCTGGTGTAATTTCGAGAAATTCCATGAAATCTTATGGTGGAGTTCCATGAAATTTTATGATGGTAATTCCAGAAAATTCTCGTAGAATTACATAGAATTTCTGTGGAATTCCCATAGAAGTATGTACATGAAATTTTAGTAAAATCCCGAGAAATTCTCGTCGAGTTACATGGAATTCCAGTTAATTTCCCGAAAATTACTTTTAAAGTTTAATTGGAATTACATTGAATTTCAGTGCAATTTCGAAAAAAAAACTCACATAATCACATACAGTTTTATTGGAATACCGAGGAATTCCCTTCTGAAAACTTGAATATTTAGTAAAATTTCGAAAAATTCTCGGTTAACTACATGGAATTTGAGTAAAACTGCAAAAAATTCTCGGGGAATTACATGAAATTTAAGAAGAATTCCGACAATTTCCGTCGATTTATGAGAAATTTCAGTGATATTCTGAAAAATTTCCATGTTATTACATGTAGTTTTATTGGAATAATTAAAATTTCCTGGTTAATAACTTGGAATTTCAGTGAAATTCCGTAATTTTCCATGGATTTTCATTAAAATTTTGAGGAATTTCCGTCGAATTAAATTCTCAGGGAATTACATGAAATTTAAGTGGAATTCCGAGCAATTCCCGTCGATTTACAGTTTTTGCTTCACAGCTCTGTTAATTTTCATCCAATTTCAATAAATTAAAGTATGTTTCATACAAGAAATTGATTGATGATTTCCCTGGAAAAGTGTTCCGGCGAATCAAGAGCCGGTAATAGTCGAAATTTGGGCTAGTTTTGAAACCAGTTCCAAAT